TGCTGCCCATGAACCAAAAATGTTTTTTTAAACCCAAATTTGTTTTTTTAATCCAAATGGAAAAACATACACCAGGATGAGTTTCAGGATGAAATTCCATGTCTTAAAATGGTGTTGCTTCCACTTTTTAAAAATCGAGCCTTTTTGGTGCCAGGGGAAAAAAACGCCAGACTCCGCGGTCAGGAATAATGCTGCCCAGGAACCAAAAATGTTTTTTTCAGAGAATTTTTTTTTTTGAAACCAAAGGCAAAAACAAACACCAGGATGAGTTTCAGGATGAAATTCCATTCAAAAAATGGTTTTACTTCCACTTTTTAAAAATCGAGCCTTTTTGGTGCCAGGGGAAGAAAACATGTGACTCCGCAGTCAGGAAAAATGCTGCCCAGGAACCAAAAATGTTTTTTAAAGTGAAAACTTTTTTTTGAAACCAAATGCAAAAACGGACACGAGGATGAGTTTCAGGATCAAATTCCATGTCTAAAAATGGTGTTGCTTCTACTTTTTAAAAATCGAGCCGTTTTGGTGCCAGGGGAAGAAAACGCTTTACTCCGCAGTCAGGAAAAGTGCTGCCCTGGAACCAAAATGTTTTTTGAAGCCAAATTTGTTTTTTCCAACCAAATGCAAAAACGGACACCAGGGTGTCCGAATTTCAGTATGAAATTCGATGTCGAAAAATGGTTTTGCTTCCACTTTTTTAAAATCGAGCCTTTTTGGTGCCAGGGGAAGAAAACGCGTGACTCCGCGGTCAGGAAAAATTCTGCCCAGGAACCAAAAATGTTTTTTAAAGAGAATTTTTTTTTTTTGAAACGAAATGCAAAAACGGACACCAGGATGGGTTTCAGGATGAAGTTCCATGTCTAAAAATGGTGTTGCTTCCACTTTTTTCAAAATCGAGCCTTTTTGGTGCCAGGGGAAGAAAACGCGTGACTCTGCGGTCAGGAAAAATGCTGCCCATGAACCAAAAATGTTTTTTTAAACCCAAATTTGTTTTTTTAATCCAAATGGAAAAACATACACCAGGATGAGTTTCAGGATGAAATTCCATGTCTTAAAATGGGTTGCTTCCACTTTTTAAAAATCGAGCCTTTTTGGTGCCAGGGGAAGAAAACGCGTGACTCCACGGTCAGGAAAACTGCTGCCCAGGAACGAAAAATGTTTTTTTAAAGAGAATTTTTTTTTTGAAACCAAATGCAAAAACGGACACCAGGATGAGTTTTAGGATGAAATTCCATGTCTAAAAATGGTGTTGCTTCCACTTTTTAAAAATCGAGCCTTTTTGGTCCCTGGGGAAGAAAACACGTGACTCCGCGGTCAGGAAAATGCTGCCCAGAAACCAAAATATAATAAGATATTTATTATATTGGGATGCTATAGATTCAGCTTGTGATAGGAATTATGGAATGGAATGGAAACAGGAATAGAATTGGAACAGAATAGGAATTGGAACAGGAATAGAGTTTGAACAGGAATAGAATAGGAATAGAATAAAATAAACAGAGTTGAAAGGAACCTTGGAGGTTTTGTAGTTGAACTCCCTATACCAGTGATGGCTAACCTTTTTCTCTTCGTTTGCCAAAAGTACGCGTGTGTGCAACAGATGCATGTGCTGGCACGCACAATTCTATGCCCCGTACATGCGCGCATGACCCCCCCACGCATGCTCCCCCTCCCCCTGTGCATGTGCGTGCAACCCCTGTCCCCCACGCATTCGCATGTGACCCCCATGCATGTGTGTGTGACCCCCACACATGTTCACGTGTCTCCTGCATGCGCCCCGCCGCCACACATCCCGAAAATCTGCTGGTTGATGGAAGCACCAGCATGCATGCGCGGTGGAGCTGAGCTAGGCGATGGCTTGCGTGCCCGTGAGAGAGATCTGGGTGCCAGCTGTGGCACGCGTGCTATAGGTTTTCCATCATGGCCCTATACCATTTTAGACAAATGGTTATCCAATCTCTTCTTTAAAACTTCCAGTGTTGGAGCATTCACAACTTTTGGAGCAAGTTGTTCCACTGATTAATTGTTTTAACTGTCAGGAAATTTCTTCTTAGTTTTAGGTTGCTTCTCTCCTTGATTAGTTTCCACCCATTGCTTCTTGTCCTGCTTTCAAGTGCTTTGGAAAATAGGTTGACTCGCCTCTTCTTTGTGGCAACCCCTGAGATATTGGAAGACTGCTATCATGTCACTCCTAATCCTTCTTTTCATTAAAGTAGACCAGGGGTGGGTTCTACTTATCTTTACTACTAGTTCGCAGCAGAGCCGTGTGCGCGCTCTTCTGCGCATGCGCAGAAGCGTTTTGGTGACGTCGGGGTTGGTGTGCAGAGCCTCCCGGTTTTCCTACCAGTTCTATAGAACCGGTGCGAACCGGAGACAACCCACCACTGAAGTAGACGTACCCAATTCCAGCAACCATTTTTTATATGTTTTAGGAGACTCTTGGCATTTTCCTATAATACCATGAAATAATATTGCATATTACAGAATACAGAAGTTGAAAGTTCTCTCTGTTCTTTTTAAATTTCTGCTTTGCAACCCTGCATTCTCTGCTACTACTTTAGGAATGCTTTCCCAAGTTTTCTATCTAATCCCTGTTGAAATCTTGTCTTGTCACTTCCCTACATCGTTCCCGGGTAGGCTGAATCAGGCACTGGGTCATCTCCCAAATTTAGTTTGGTTGCTTTTTTAAATTGCAGAACCTGAAATTCAACTTGAAGAACTGTTATCGGCTTGTTTCACAATAAAGGCACCGGTGGTGTGTTGAGTCTGCCTGACGGATATGCTGCCCGACAAAAAGTAAGCGAATATTTATGATTTGAAGAACCTATTGTCTGACAAATGTTCTGCTCTTGCTTTATTTTAATTTAAGTTCATTTTCTAAACAGTGTATTTTAGAACTGCCATTATATCTATCTTCTAAGAGAAAAAGAGAGTTAAATCTGGTGGGGAAGGAAACTATGATTTGTGCTGGAGAGTGAGTTTGCTTTCTTAATATTTCTTCTAACTTTGGTTTTTTTATCTCGGGGGGAGTTGGCGAACCTTTTTGGACAGTGTTGATGAATCTTTTTGGCACCGACTGCTGAAACGGGAGCGTGGATGCATGCCGGAAACCAGAAGAGCAGCCGCCCAGTACGTATGTGTGCCGGCCACCTGGTTTTCTGGTTTCTGGCACATATGCGCATGTGAAGACCAGCTGGCCAGTGGGCATGCACATGCCAGAAACTGGAAGAGCAGCCACCCGGTGCGCATGCATGGGGCTGGGAAGATTATCTTCCAGTTTCTGGCATGCGCATGCACACCGGCTACCTGGTCTTCCTGTTTCTGGCAAACATATGTCCGCGAAGACCATCATGCACACTGGAAATTGGAAGATCATCTTCCTGGTGCGCACATATGCACCAGGTGGCTGCTCTCCCAGTTTCCAGTGCTCCTGCACACATGAAGATCACCTGGATGGTGTGCCGGAACCTGGAAGAGCAACGGGCGATGGCTCGCGTGGCCGGAGATATGGCTCCGCGTGCTACTTCCGGCACACGTGCCATAGGTTCGCCGTCATTGGTATAGGACATGGATGTTTAATAATAGAAGTTTAATGTTGATTTCTCGAGTGGTCTGGAACAACCCATTATCTCCATGGTGTTTGCATTACGCCCATCAAATGCCTTTTGCCTGCACTGAGATAATCCTTTGTACTTCTTGAAATGTTGCTTAAAACTCTTTTACAGCCATGGTCCTCTGTAAAGGATTTGCTATAGGATGAAAAATTGTATAATTTATGTATTATTAACAGAAGCAGCAAGTACAGGCAACCCTCAACTTAGATCCACAATTGAGCCCAAATTTATGTTGCTGAGTGAGACATTTGTTACGTGAGTTTTGCTCCATTTTACGACTCTCCTTGCCACGTTCGTTAAGTGAATCACTGCATTTGTTCAATGAGTAACACGTCTGTTAAGTCCCTCCCCCCCCCAATTGACTTTGGTTACCAGAAGGTCGCAAAAGGGGATCTCATGACTCTGGGACATTGCAACCATCATAAATGTGAGTCAGTTGCCAAGCATCTGAACTTCAAACATATGACCATGGGGATGCTGGAAAGGTCATAACTGTGAAAATGTCAGGGAAATAGCTGCTATCAGGATATAAGGCAGGGAATGAGTCAGCAAGATTTTTGGAGCTGATGTGACTTTAAGAGGCTTTATATATAAGAGAAGCCCTGTGAGGGTGTCTCTCTCTCCATGTGTGCTTCTGTGCTATAGTTGATGATTGATTGCCTGACTTTGCCTAGTATGTGTATGTATATATTCCTTGTAGATAAACCACTATTTGAAAGACAAACCTCTGTTTATTGTATTTTGCTCCTGGGTTGTCTCAAAAATAGTCACACTATGCACATTCTGACAGAAAAACATCACTTTTTTCAGTGCCATTGCAACTTCGGCTTCTCATCCCAAATGGCATAGCTAAAATTCTGTAGAGATTCTCAGACATCCAGGTCATGGTTGTCCCAAAGGTTCTTTTTTTTCCTGGGGATGAACATTTGGGATGAACACTCTTCGAATGGTGTGGGAGTATGAATGGATTTCCAAAAAATATTGCAAACAAGACTATAGGAACCATAAGCGTCACTCAGGTGACCCGGAGGACACAGATAAACCTTCAAGTGCTTCAACGACCCTCTAAAAGGATGCAAATGACCAGCTGTCTGTAAGGAGTATAAATCTTTCCATTCCCCACCATCCAGTCAGAGCTGAAGAAGCTTCTTGGATGAGAAGTGAAACGTCTTAAAAAAAACCCCAAGAAAGTCCAGCTGCCTTCTGAAAAAAGCACCTTTGGGACAACCACATCCTGGATGACTGAAAATCTCCATAGAATCAGAGCTGAAGAAGCTCCTTGAATGAGAAGTGAAACGTCTTCAGACTTTTAAAAAGGGGATGAGCAAATTCTGGAAGTGGTTAGCACTTTTTCCTCAAGGATTATTACATATGACAGATCCACATAAGCCTGGTTGAAGCCATTTTGATTTTATTAATGCAAGCACAGCAAACTCAAACACGGAATATCCTGCTTATGGTACAGCTTTTTATATGTAGCAATTCAGTTCCCAATAACAAAACACAGATGTTTTTGAAGGGATGATTCAAACCAAAGCCTAAGGGGCAGGAGGATGAGTAGAATTTGAGAATTTGTGTGGGAATCACACGTTTTTTAATTCAAGGATATACTGGAACCAGCTCGGATAACCACTGGAGTGCACATTCATATCAAAGCCTTGCTATGTTTTATCTTAAATATGCCTACACATCATGTGTTCTGGAACTGTGTTTCTCATATATGACATTTGAAACATCCTGTTGTAAATTTCAAATACATCAACAAAGCCAAATATACAAATTTCATAGGATTTGACAATGTTCCTAAGTAGGAGACCCCTCAAAGTGCAAAAAAGAAAAAGAAAAAGAAACCCTCATTGAAATAATACAGTACAAATATTTATTTTTCTCCCACTGGGATCAAAAATCAATACTTCAGGATCGGGAGCGGGGGAAAATAGCAGCAGCTCAACCAATAAACCGAGCTATTAATTCTGTCTGCCTTCGTGGCGTTCTTGTTCTATAAATTCATATATGTTTGTTTTGATCAGTGTAAATCAATTTTATTGTTTCTTTTGTTGCTTCCTCTGTGTACCCTGAACAATCTGAATGCAAGTAGCAAAATGTTTTTGGCAAAATATTTTTTTTTGAGTCAGATAGATAGATGTTCTAATGTATTAATCAAAAGAATGGAATATTTGTTATACCATGTACATATGGACACATTTCATAGCATTTTAATGGCTATCCATTTGGAACTCATAAATGTAAAATTGGTAAACCATTATTGAATAAATTAAAAAGGGTTTCTCCTAATTTTTAAATTTTAATGAGCAGATAGTTGGAGAGTACCAACGAGCTAATTGAATTCTGGTGATATAGACATATGTTTTAGAATTAATATATATTTTAAAAAGAACTGGCTACTTTCAAGGGGTTTTTCCCCACACTTTTTTTTAATTGTAATTCATGGGGACTGTATCATCTCTTTCTCTGACTTGGCCAAACTGCTTTTCGGTTCTTTTTAAAAATCCACTTTTTAAGCCTTTTACAGCCTTAGGCTTTTTATTTTCTGACAACAGCTGAACTACAAAATAGCCAAAATGGTTGAACTTAGAAAAATCAAATAATTAGCTTGCATTTATGGACAATAGACCCCCTCTAACTAATTGGATTTCGAAGCCAAAGGTAAGAACATAGCATGTTTATGCAAACTTTTTAATAGAGCCACATTTTCTCCTAGGAAAGGACACGGATGCCTTAAAAGGTTATAGTAGCTGCAATACAGGTAATCCTCGATTTATGACCACAGCTGAGCCCAAAATTTTATGTTGCTAAGTGAGACATTTGCTAAGTGAGCTTTGTCCCATTTTACGACCTTTCTTGCCACAGTTGTTGAGTCAAATCACTGTAGTTAAGTTTGTAACGCGATTGTTAAGCGAATCTGGCATCCCCATTGCCTTTGCTTGTCAGATAGTCGCAAAAATGGATCACATGACCCCGGGTACACTGCAACTGTCATAAATATGAGTCAGTTGCCAGGTATCTGAATTTTGATTGCGTGATCGGGGGGGGGGGAGGACCGCTGCAATGGTCATAAGTGTGAAAAATGGTCATAAGTCATTTTTTTCAGTGTAAATTCAAACGGTCACTAAATGAATCATTGTAAGTCGAGGATCACCTCTATTCACAACCTTCTGACATTCAAAGCATTTATTTGCACAGGCTGAATGGCCACTTCTAAGGGTTTTTTTCCCGCTGAAACTAATGCAATTTTAAAACGCAGAAAGCAAGAAATTAGAGTCGCTATGATCAGAAAACATGTTTAGAACAAAATAAATTAACATTTCAGGAGGCACTGAAATACACACACACACACACACACACACACACACACACACACACACACACACTACACATACACACACACATTTAAAACTTAGTTCTAATGGAAATAGAACATGGCAGATAACTTTTTTAAAAAATATGTGGTCTCAATTCCGGAACAGGATCCAAGAATTCAGCAAGAGCGAAGAGGGTCAATTCTAGTGAACAATACAGCCAGAACAATTAGATCTATCAAGCTTTGTCATGGTTTTAACTCTTAATGTAGAGTTACTGTATTGGGTTATACCCATGATGGTGGACCTATGGCACGCGTGCCAGAAATGGCATGCAGAGCCATCTCTCCCAGCACATGAGCCGTTGCCCGTTGTTCTTTTGGGTTCCGGTGTACCAGCCAGCTGGTTTTCACGCACACAGGAATGCTGGAAAACGGAAGAGCAGCTGCCTGGTGCCAGGCGGCTGTTTTACTGGTTTCTGGCACGAGCATGCGCACCGGCCATTTGGTCTTCCGGTTAAAGTCTTCTGGTGAAGACCAACATGCACACGCTGGAAACCGGAAGATTATGTCCCCGCCGCGCATGCGCAACAGGTGGCTGCTCTTCCAGTTTCCGGTGTGTGTGTGCGCCCTGGCCAGTTGGTCTTCACATGCGCATATGTTCCAGAAATCGGAAGATCAGGTGTCCAATGTGCATGCATATGCCAGAAACTGGAAAAGCAGCTGCCCGGTGCATGCATGCATAGTGGGAGGCTGCTCTTTCGGTTTCCAGCACGCAAACGTGTGTGCGCGGTCCCGATTTGGCACGGTGCCAAAAAGGTTCGCCAACACTGGGTTATACGGATAACTCTTATCTGTATAACTAGCTGGGAGCCAAGACAAAGAGAAGATGCTGTCAATTTTTTATTTTATTTTTTCGCAGACCAAAAAAATTGTCCTCTTTATAAAATCCAACATCTCTTGTGAGCTCTTATGGTAGATTTAGGGAAATCCACCAATAGGAATTTTTGTATTTATGGGAAACGGGTTATAATAGTCAACATCACCCCAATGCCATTGCTGAAGATTATGATTCCTTCAAATTTTATATCCCTGATGAACAAAATTCTGATGCAAATTGAAAACATTCTTAACATTGGTAAAACTGTCTTAAGGGGGGAAACAAAAAACAATTTTTTTAAAACATTGAGCGATTCACCTATGGTCTTTTGGTAACAAAAATAATTTCTGCTGCACCATTATTAATCCAGAGAAAGCTAGACGCTTATTTCGTCGGATATATCCTCCAGGTTATTTACAAAGTGATAGCTGGTTTTTCGAGACATCCCTAGTTTTAATTTGCTTGTTTTCTGACACAGAATTGTAATAGAAGGTACGCTAAACAATTTCAGTACCTTGTAAGGCACTAATTTCTGATGTGAGAGGGGGCAGCTAGGCTGCTACAACAACGATTTAAGGCCAGAGACAGGAAGGACAGAATCCTTGCGTGGTCACGGGGCACCAATACTGTGTTTCCGGTTGATAAAAGTTCCTTTGTGCTACAATGCAATGGGGGAAATGCAACAGGGAAGCTTAATCTAGGATAAATTGGGCTGAAGATGATGTGTCTGGGTGCTCCCCATCAAAATTAAGTTGGCTTGCTTTCCTACAACAAGCTAATTCAAGCTGCAATCTTTGGTCCTTCAGAGAGCATTTCTGGAGTTTATAAGGTGTGTTTGTGTGGGCTAGCTTTGATTTCCTTTCCAAAATAGGGATAAAAGCTTTTACAGGCACATCACTCTCCTTCCCTGTTCTGCCAGCTTCTAAGATTGGGTTGATCAAATATGGGGCATTCACATCTGAGCTGCAAAAATGGAGCCGGCCACCAGATGGCAGCAAAGGGGTTGCTGTAAACTCGTGGTCACCCCCTAACCATCCTTTTGCAGGTTTGCAGTCCGGGTTTAAAAGCCATGCTGAGAGTTAATTCAAGGAGTCTGCTGAGACTCCTTGGAATCTCTCTGGGTCAACCATATGCAAGCAACTTTCTTATTAAAAAATATAGATGTGATTAATAATTGGACTGCCACCTTTGGGACATTTTTGAACCTCTCTGTCTAGCTTCCAGTCCTAGGATTTTCTATTCCCATCCAAGGTCAACACAAAACATTTCTCTAAGATGGTGTAGATCCCACCAAATGTTTGTAGGGGGAGGAAAAACCTGTATTTTTTTAAAATCTCAAGAAAGGAGAGATTAAAAATTCCTTTCTCCCTACTTTTTGCCCTGCCAGCAGAGCGTTCTCAGAATTGGATCTTTTCTCTTTTTTCAATTTTCCTCTTTTTCAAAGAAGTTTGCCGTTTCCTTCACGCCATCATGGCCTACCCACATTTTCATGAAGGCCCACTTTGATCCTTTATTGAAAAGCCTCGGTGAAATCCAAATTTTTTTACTACCGTTCTGTGGGTGTGGTTTGGTGGGCGTGGTGTGGCTTGGTGGGCGTGGCTTGGTGGGCATGGCAGGAGAAGTATACTGCAAAATCTCCATTCCCACCACACTCTGGGACCCCACTCTGGGTCCACTCTGAGGTGGTATTTGCTGCTTCTCCAAACTTCTCAAAATTTCTGCTACCAGTTCTCCAGAACCTGTCAGAACCTGCTGGATTTCACCCCTGAAAGACCTCCTTTCTTGGGCCTGCGGTACCCACAAAAGGAGCAGGAGATGAGAAATGTTCCTTTTTGTGTACTTCTTTAAGTCGTCTTGTTTTAGCAACCCAACGGAAAGCCCTGGCATCTGGGGAGAAGAAAGATTTAACTTAGTCTTCTAATACCACACTTTTCCACATTGTTTTTTTTTTTTCTACACAGTTCCTTGAACAAGCCACCAACGCAACACCTTTGTCTTTAGGATTAAATTCTGGGCAAGAATTAATTGATTTTGTTGGCTGTTTAATATAGGGCTGTGCAGAACCTTTGAAGAAGCTGCTTTGGAACTTCTAAGCCTTTTAATGCAGCTGCCTCTTTGTCCAAATTTCCCACAGGGACTCCCCAAACTAGGGTAAGATAAGTCAAGATGGCATCCATGATGGTGCGAGTGAAACTCTGCTCTTTGTTATGTGTGTGGCAGTGCAGATATGGCTTCTATCACTTGTCTGTGACCACCATACTGAATGTTCTTTAAACCATTTTCTTTAAAGCATTCCAGAGTATGCTTCCAGGTGATGCTTTCCACTTCACTGGGGATGGTGGTATGTAGTGGTGGTATTCAGCCGGTTCTATCCGGTTCTGGTGAACTGGTAGCGGCGGCTGTGGGAGGCTCCGCCCACCCACACATCATCACATCCCGTTTTTGATGCTCTGCACATACACAGAAGGCTCTGTTCATGCACGGAGTTGGCGTGTGTGAGCAAAGCGAATGCGTGCACACACACGCTCACATTTGCAAACCAGTAGAGAAGGTAAGTGATTACTACCCCTTGTGGTGTGGGAGGGAGGAAATCTATGTAGTTGTGTGCACGGATGTATGTAGCTTCCTAAGCAACCACAATTCTTGTGGAGGTGGGAATGGCCAACGTAACAATTTGGGACGTGGCGGGAAGGTGGGGGAGAGGAAGAAGCAGCTTTGTACATTTCCTGAAGGATTTGTACATCCATAGTGTTAAGTAGAAAAGCAAAGCACCCTCCACGTCACTGGAGGAAAATAAATACATAAAGCGGCACAGAAACAAAAAATTGGGATGATTCTGCAAGAACGGCAGTATGGAATATATTGCAGCAAACGAATGACTCATCCAGGGCAGCCTTGAGACAAGCAAATTTACCCTTTTTAAAAATTTCTCTAGGCAAATGCCTCCTTTACCAGATTCAAGTCAGGGGAAAAAAATATATATATATGAAGTATAGCTAGAAATTTGGCGGCAGAGAAGAAGCACGCCTATGGGAATATCAGTTCACTTAAACAGGTGTGTAGTTTGACAAAAGGCTTAAGTTTCGTAGTTAATCAACCTGGGGTAATCCTCGAATCAACTCGGTTGCCTCTTTGGGTCAGTGTTTTCTAGATGCTCCTCACCATGAAAGCGCCAGGCACACGCCAGACCACGATGCATTCGCTCCACACCATGAAAGCGCCAGGCACACGCAAGGCCACGATGCATCCGCTCTTCACCAGGAAGTCCCAGGCACACGCAAGACCCCCCAAAATGAGAGAGTACCGACTCCCTGGCAAGAGGGTACATGTACAGTATTGGGTAGAAATCGTCACACACGAAAATAAAGATCTTGATGGCCCTCCAAGAAGACATCACCACGGATTCTACTTCCCCACAGTCCATTTCATCTCTGAGACCAGGGCCCTGCCCTTGATTTGGAGTTTTTCTTTTAAAAAAAAAAAAAGACCAAAAACTGTCATGAAGTGCCTTAAAGTTGACGTGAAATACTATCGAGCACAATTTTTTTTTCAGTTGTTCATAAAAGGTATCATATATATATATACAAAACTGACCCCAACCAGTGAGGCCTTCTTTTCACAAACCAAGCCTTTCAGGATTTAAAAAAAAAAAAAAATCAAAACAGTGTTTGTAGAGTGTGCTTTAAAATCCAAAAGTCCCCATTCTCAGGCTCGGTTGAGGAGGGTTGTCCTAAAAACGAAAAGACAAAAGGTTACTGTCACAGGTTCTTTTAGGTGGCAGCAGCCAAAAAAGCGAATGAAAAGAGCCTTGATAGTATAGTGGTCTAAGCACCCTGTTATTAACACAGCTGCCTGCAATTTACTGCTGGTTCGAATCTCTCCAAGGCTCAAGGTTGACTCAGCCTTCCATCCTTTCTAAGGTAGGTGAAATGAGGACCCAGTTTGTGGGGGCAATAAGCTGACTTTGTATAAATATACAAAAGAATGAAAGCTATTGCTTAGCGCATTGTAAACCGCCCTGAGTCTCCGGAGAAGGGCGGCATATAAATCAAATAAAAAATAAATAAAAAAAATCCTTGGTTGAATAAACAGAGGCATGGTATCAAAATCATTAATACCTAATAATTTATAAATCCTTGGTAAGGCCACACCTGGAATCCTGTTGAGGATGTTGAGACTTTGGAAAAGGTGCAAAGAAGAGCAAATAAGATGATTAAAGCCCTTCATACGTTTTTGGAGACAAAAACGTATGAAGAACAGTCGCAAGGATTGGGTATGGCCAATCTAGAGAAAAGAAGTACCAGGACTGACATGATTATAATGTTCTGGTATTTGAGGAGCTGCCACAAAAAAAGGGGGCTCACTCAGGGGTGAAATGCTACCGGTTTGGACTGGTTCACCTGAACCGGTAGTTATAAAAGCTACCATTTCGGGCGAACCGATAGTAAAAAAATGCTACCGGTTCAGATGAACCGGTATTTCCAACAATCAGCTGTGCCGCGCTTTCTAGCAAATCTAAATCGCATGGCAGAGCTGTTCCTCCCCCTCACTGTTCTACTTACCTTAGAAAGCCTCTTTTTTCAGTGCTGCATGGTAGCGCCTGCGGTGCACCTGCATGCGTGCAGCGAACCAGTAGCAGACTCCAGACCATTTCACCACTGGGGTCACTTATTCTACAAAGCACCCGAGGGCAGGACAAGAAACAATGGGTGGAAACTAATCCAGGAGAGAAGCAACCTGGAATTAAGGAGAAACTTCCTAACAATGAGATCAATTAACCAGTGGAAGAGTTTGCCTTCAGAAGTTGTGGGTGCTCCATCACTGGAATCCCAAAGATGCTTTTTCAAGAGGCAACTGGACTTTCTGGTTTTTTTTTTGAAGATGTTTCACTTCTCATCCAGAAGCTTCTTGGATGAGAAGCAAAAACCAGAAAGTCCAGTTGCCTCTTGGAAAAGCACCTTTGGGACAACCATGGCTTGGATGACTGAGAATCCCCATAGACATTCATCACTGGAGGTTTTTAAGAAGAAACTGGACAACCAAATTAAAATGTATAGGGTCTCCTGCTTGAGAAGGGGTTGGGCTACAACACCTCTAAGGTCCCTTCCAGCTCTATTTTGACACTGGGGAAATGTACCCCCAAGTCAGTGGGCTCCAAAACCTAAGAGAGCCCATACAAAAATACAGGTCACCATGCAACGCACATACACAAGCAATTCTAGTGTTCACTGCTCTCTACTACACTTTTTCTACTACTAGTATAGGCGCTGGCTATTTTGTGGGCATCTTATCATCTCACATCTAATGCTATGTGATTTTAATGCTGAGGAGAAGTCAGTCTATGTTGATGTGAAACCTCAGCTTCCCTTGACTTCCCACTTAAGTTTTCTCTGAGAACCTCAAAAATCGGGCTGATGAATTAACAGAACAGCAGAGTTGGACAGGACTTTGGAGGTCTTCTAGTCCAACCTCCTGCTCAAGCAGAAGACCCTATACCATTTCTGACATATGGCTGTTCCAGTCCCTTCTTAAAAAAACCCAGTGATGGAGCACTGGAGGCAAGCTATTCCACTGGTTAATTGTTCTCAGTGTCAGGAAATTTCTCTTTATTCCAGGCTGTTTCTCTCCTTGGTTAGTTTCCATCCATCATTTCTTGTCCTGCCTTCTGGTGCTTTGGAAGATAAGTTGACCCCTTCTTCTTTGTGGTAGCTGCTCAAATACTGGAAGACTGCTATCATCCCTAACCCCTTGTCTTTGTTAGATGGGACATACCCAATCCCTGTTGTGATCGTTCTTCATACGTTTTAGTCCCCAGTACCCTAATCATGAAATTTCATGCTTCCTTTGTATAAGGAACACTGAAATTGTCCTTGTGTTCTGATTTCTGAAGATGATTTCCAGCCAGGCCTCAAAACATATGCTCAAAATTGTCTACAGGCAAAACTTGTCAGTGCACAAAAGTTTTGCCTGTTGTCCCCTTCTTGCGAAACGTGCTATAAAAGCAGGCCAAAACCACAGGGTGCTTTAAATGGAATTACAGTAAATCCAGTTAGTAGAAAGCAGACCTCTAATCCCTGAATAATTCAGAACTCTCCCGTTGGATTACTCCTCTGTTGGGAAAAGATGAAAATGGGGTTACTGTGCTAAAATCTTGAGATGGTAAAAGGAAGATAATTCTTCTAGGTGTTCCCCAAGTTAAAACACGCACGCACAAATTAACAGAGGGACGCAGTGGCTCAGTGGCTAAGATGCTGAGCTTGTCAATCAGAAGGTTGGCAGTTCAGCGGTTCGAATCCCTAGTGTACTTCAGATGTTTTAATACTTTTGACTGTCTCCATGCTTTTTACTGTTGTTATTGTTCTTACTCTTTTAAAATGTTTTTTTTTTAAATTTTAAATGATAACGTACGTTTTGAATTATGAGCTGCCCACAGTTGTTTGTTGTGAGATGGGCGGCTTACAGAAAACAAACAAATAAATAAATACTTCCTGGAAACCTTAAAATGAGAAAAGATTGGGGAGAAAAAGCTTAGCTTGGTCTATGGTCTACCATGCAAGGAGTTTTTGACCTTAACCATTCAAACATTAAAATTGGGGTCTGCAGCAGGATGAAAGGTCAGGATGTGACCACAACTTTTAGGACTGAAAGTTGCATTCTGACCCATGTAAAGAAGGGGGCAGGGCTTTGATCCCATCTTGGTGGCCATCATCTCAATCTCTGTCCGCGTTCCGGAGGACCTCCTGATTTAAATAGTCTCCTCCCCCTTCTCAGTAAAGAAGCATAGTTTATTTCTTTGCTCCATATTCAGAATGGCGAGGAAGGTTTTGTGGCTTTGAGTTGGCCCAAGATGGTTGGTGGCTTGGTCACTAGAAGAACTAGGGAGGCAAGTCTTTCTTTGAATGTTCTCCTTTCCTTTGTGGCCAATAGGATAATTACTTGTGCAGTTGTGTTTTTGTTTTCCTGAGTATGAGAAGCTCTACTTTGCATAATGGCTAAGTAGCCTTTTTGGCTTCATTCCAGCAACATCTTTGCTTCCACATTTATCAATAACCGTGATTACCTGAGAGTCTTCCAGCTGTCTTTCTCCATGTGGTTTTCTGGACCTTCGCTTTCAAATGAGGCAATAAACAAAGCTGGAGGAGGAAGAGAAAGACAGATAAGTGACAGGACGGTTGATCAGTTTGTGATGATAATAATGTCAGAAATATGCCATTTGGGGCTGACTCGGTAGGTAGGTAGGTAGGTTGGTGGATTGATCAATCGATAGATAGAAAGATATAGATTGATATATAGATACAGAAAGATAGAGATGATAGAGGGGGGATAAAAATAGATTAGGTAGGTAGGTAGGTAGAGAGATAGGTATGTAGAGATAGAGATAGATAGATAGATAGATAGATAGATAGATAGATAGATAGATAGATAGATAGATAGATAGATAGATAGATATGGATGGATGATAAGTAGATGGATGGATGGATGGATGGATGGATGGATGGATGATAGATAGATAGATAGATAGATAGATAGATAGATAGATAGATAGATAGATAGATAATAGGTAGGTAGGTAGATGGATGATAGATAGATGGATAGATAGTTGATAGGTAGGTAAGTAGGTAGGTAGAGAGAGAGAGAGAGAGAGACAGAGAGAAAACAGAGAGATAGAGAGATAGAGACACATATTCTATCAAATGTGGTTAACTCTGTTCTGTTCCTCATTGACCTCAATCCTACTTTTCTAGAATGGCATTATGGTCAACAGACCCATTGCATACATTCTTCCAACTGAAACTCCAACAGCAGAAAAAAATGATTCTATAGAAAACATCAATGCATTTTTGTGATTTAGGCTTAAATTGGTCCAGAAAGGGATTGGCCTTTCCTGCTCAATTCTACAGCTCTTCTGTACTTGCAGAAAGTGTAAGTGTGAGAGCTTAAAAGGCAGTTGTGGGGAACTATTCTTTTTTTTTTTAAGAATAACCACCACCACCCCTTTCCCCGCCCCGAGTCTCACCTTCTTCACTGTAAATAGGTGCAGTGAGCAGGTAGCTCTGAATCTTCCGGTCCTTTTCGAAAGGACATTCCACCTGTTTCCATGTGACAAAGTCATGGATTTGCCTTGAAATTTCCCAGAATTTCTGCAGGAGATCCACACCGACCGAAAACAGATGGTAATTTGTATTATTAACATCATGGAATCAAAAGAATCCCTCCCTCCACATTAAAAACATGCCTAAGAAATGGCTGCTTGTCATCCCTGTCAGGAAATTTCTCCTTATTTCTAGGCTGGGTGTCTCTTTGGTTAATTTCCACCCGTTGCCTCTTATCCGGCCTTGCTTTGTCAAGGAGAGGAGGACAAACACTCCTCAGGGCATCCCTACACCTTCCTTGCTTATTGGTTCAGAAGTCACATTCCTGTTAAGATCACTTTAGCTTGTGTTCCACTGCAATCTGTTTTTCTCCCATGAAATCAAGACTTTCTCCTGCATGCAGCATGCTAAAATGAGCAAAGTGTCATTCAAAGTGACAATAGTCTATTCTATTCTATTCTATTCTATTCTATTCTATTCTATTCTATTCTATTCTATTCTATTCTATTCTATTCTATTCTATTCTATTTTTTATTTTTATTTTTATATGCCGCCCTTCTCCGGAGACTCAGGGTGGCTTACAATGTGTTAAGCAATAGCCTTCATACTTTTGTATATTTTATACAAGGTCAGCTTATTGCCCCCACAAACCGGGTCCTCATTTTACCCACCTTAGAAAGGATGGAAGGCTGAGTCGACCTTGAGCCTGGTGAGAATTGAACTCGCAGTAATTGCAGGCAGCCGGATGTTAAATGCTGCCTTAGTAGGAGGCATTAGCCTCCTACGCCACTCAGGCTCTATTCTATTCTATTCTATTCTATTCTATTCTATTCTATTCTATTCTATTCTATTCTATTCTATTCTATTCTATTCTATTCTATTCTATTCCTATCCCTATCCCTATCCCTATCCCTATCCCTATCCCTATCCTATCCTATTCTGGATTTTTACCAAATGGAGTATCTACCAGTTTACAACCAGTTCTTTTTCTGCAACAATAAATCTGAAATATGTGTTCAGGGTAGCTAAGTGGAGCAAAGATCTTTATTTTTTAATTGTGATATGTGTGCATTGAAACATAGTTTCTAAATTCTGCAATCACCCTTGAGGCTTCACTGAGGCAAACTTATTCCGGAGGATAGTAATGAAAACAAAAACAAAAACGAGCATAAAAGTAGCAAAATGGCCTCTTTTTTAAAAAAAGGGAGCGCTTTTTTTTTCATTTCAGTTGCCATATTCACCCCATTTATTGCATGCTGTGTGCATTTATTGTACATTGCAAAATGGCTGCTTACCTTGAAGTTGATTTGTCCATTCGGCAAGTGGTTGGTGTGTATCTTATGCAGGAAGTAGATATCTTTAATGAAAAGATTGAAAACGGGGATGACAATTTTCTCCCGGCTGCTATGTGCTGTCTGAGATCTCTGTGCCGCCCCTTGGAGAGCTGTCCGATAGTTACAAAAGTTGCTTGAGGGATCCATGTGATGCTATTTCCAAAGAACGAGAAGAAGCAGGGGGTTAATCAAGAATTATTGTTACTTTCTTTTCTTTTCTTTTTTCTTTTTGTTAATATAATGATGGCCTGATTAAAAACTAGAATAGAGGTAGAAATAAGAATACACACCTTTATATAAAGTAAGAGTTAGATTGGAGGTTGAAAGATGATACCGTGTTTCCCCGAAAATAAGACCCTGCCTTATATTTTTTTGAACCCTGAAATAAATGCTTGGCCTTATTTTCGGGGAGATCTTATTATTTTGGGGCATGTGGAACAAGATTGGGCTCCTCCTGCCGTCTTACCTGATTTCCAGCTCTGTGTTTAAATATTTTCGGGGAGGGCTTATTTTTGGGGCGAGGCTTATTTTAGTGCATTTGCTCAAAAGCCCAGTTGGGTTTATTATCAGAGGATGTCTTATTTTTGGGGAAACAGGGTATTATTATTATTATTATTATTATTATTATTATTATTATTATTATTATTATTATTATTATTAACCTTTATTCATTAAACATGAAAATCAGTCAACTGAATATTTAAAAATGTATCAAATATGATTGACTGGTGTTAATAGTGGATATGGGTTCCTGGCAGCATCCTAGATATCAACCAAGTATCTTCTTAAATTATATGATGTTCCGAGTAGCGCAGTTTTTTGCAGTTCCGCTGATGTTATTGCAGGAAGCTGCAATTTCTTAATGTGTTTTCTAAAATTCTTGGATATTATTATTGTTGTTGTTGTTGTTGTTGTTGTTGTTGTTGTTGTTGTTATTATTATTATTATTATTATTATTATTATTATTATTATTATTATTATACCAATGTAATGAATATTATTGTAAACAGTAAAGGGAATATTATCGTAAACAGAGTATTATTTCCTAAAATTATTTGTACCCAGACAACACAGTTTAAATAAAAATTGAATTCTTATGTTATAAAATAAAATTTAAATAATGTTAATGTTAATGTTGATATTGATGTTGATGTTGTTGTTGTTGATGGTGATGATAATAATAGTAATAGTAGTAGTAGTAGTAGTAATAATAATAATAATAATAATAATAATAATAATAATAATAATAATAATAGCGCCTTTGAGGCCTAATCCTTTTTATTTTCAGTTTTATTTGAGATGGCTTGCTTTTTGTTAAATCTTGAATATAATTCTCCACCAGATGGCAGGCTTTCATGAGAAATGTGCCAATATGACATCTCTAATAAAATGGAACTTTGAGGAACTGCCTGCCTCAGAATCTTCTTTGGTTGGGAGTGGGGGAAGGTGTTACTTGGAACCCTGACAATAGGTGGATTATGAGTGGCCATCACCCTTGTCTTTCAAATACTATCAGCTCCAGCCACAGTGTGAAAATTGTTACAGGTGGAAGAGGATCCGTCCAGCGTGATATGGAAGGTTTCCCTCTTCAAACTGATGAAAATATGTAAAAAAAAAAAAAAAAAAGCACTGAGAAAGACAGACTTTTAGCCAATCAAGGCACACCTGCTTGAGTGCCTGCTGACAACTGAGGAAATTCTTTATATATTATATATATTCTTTATATATATGTTTCCTGTATTGTTCTTGTCCCTAACTCTGAGCAGGGAACTATGGTTAAGCCCACCTCTTGTGCTGCTATATTCTGGCTTGTCATTGCTTTTAAAAATGAAAATGAAAAGAATCTGTTGAGTGAAAACCTTGACCCAATGCAGCAAGGTATGACATATTTACCTCTAAAACATCAAATTTGGCTGTTTTCACTTTGGACCATGTTTTCTTTAGCCGGGCAACAGGACTCAAGTTCATGCCAGCTGCAGAAAGGAAGGAAGGAAGGAAGGAAGGAAGGAAGGAGGAAGGAAGGAAGGAAGGAAAGAAAGAAAGAAAGAAAGAAAAGGGGAGGGGAGGGGAGGGAGGAAGAGAGAGAGAGAAAAAAGAGAAAGAAAGAAAGTGAAAAGAAAAGAAAAGAAAGAAAGAGAAGGGGAGGGAGGAAGAGAGAGAGAGAAAGAAAGAAAGAAAGAGAAGGAGAGGGGAGGGAGGAAGAGAGAGAGAAAAAAGAGAAAGAAAAAGTGAAAAGAAAAGAAAGAAAGAGAAGGGGAGGGGAGGGAGGAAGAGAGAAAGAAAGAAAGAAAGAAGGAAGGAAGGAAAAGAAAGAGAGAGAAAGGAAGAAAGGCAGAGAGAAGGGGAAAGGAAAAGGGAGAAGAAGGAACAAAGAAAAAAGAAAGAAAAGGATTTTTAAATGCAAATAATTTGCAATATTTCAGCATGCATTTCAAATGCTTTTCTAGCAACAATGGTCTTTCGTAAAACTTCACTCAGGACTCTCTTGACTCGTGTCAAAGGGAAGCTTCTACAGACATGTGGATTGTCCTAAGCACATTAAACCATTCAGAAGCCAAAGGGTCAAAATGTTCTCAACCCCCTCTCCCCTGGCTTCTTCATTCTATATTCCTCCAATCCACCTTGAGGTGTTAAGTATTGGCATGCCCCACCTTCCAGCAAATTGAATCGTACTCTTTCAAGCTAATGTCCTATACGTTTTTGATAAATCTACTGCTTTTCCACCTAACAGAGGTCTTCCTGGCTTGCTTGCTTTCTTGTGCGCATCATCATCTGTTTTACAGTGATGATAACTTTGTCTCTGTATCCCTGCATTGAGCAAATCCTGCCCTCCAAACCGCAGCTTTTACAACAACGGGGACCAAGTTTTGGACGAATGTTAATAGTTGAGCAGGGCACAGCATGCAAGAAATAAGGGGGGGTGTAAGGTCTTGCCTCTCCAATCTTCCCAAGAAAACAGGACTCTTGAAACTGCAGTGGTTCCAAAAGGAGCTTTTCAGAGGTGGGATTCACATAATTTAACAATTGGTTTGCCCAGCACCGAAAATGTGAGCATGCACACACACTTGCTTCACTCTCCCTTGCATCTTCCACACATGTGGTTTGCTCACGCGCGCAGCTTGCACGCATGTGCACGGCTTAGAAAACATGTCTAAATAGGACGGCATAGCACTGGGGCAGGTGAGTGGACCACCTGCAGGTTGCAACTACCGGTTCACCCAAACTGGTCTGAATTGTCCCGAACTGGCTGAATCCCATCACTGGAGCTTTTATTAAAAGGTTTGTGATAACAAGAGATCTAGGCAAGAACTGAAGCTTCTCACTTAAAACTAGCTATTTAAAGCAATGCTAACCAAAACCCTCCCACACTACATCATTGCAGGGAAACAGAAACAGAAACTTCATATAGATCTTAGCATAGTAATGCAGGAAACAGAAACTTCATGTACAGATCACTCCATTCCTCCCCTTCTTCCTCCCACCAAAATGCCAGCGTCCCTGTAGAAATATCTAGGACCTGACAGGGGGTTTGCTCTAAAAGGAAAGTTCAGCTGAGATAAAGAACTTTTTGTTTTGCTCCCAAATCAGTTACTGGGAACTCTCAACCCAAATGAATTATTGGGAAAATATTTGCATACAGATAATCTGTAAAAAAAGAACTAACTTGGCACACACAACCCTAAATAGGAAGTTGATAATATCAGCTGTGTCATGCTGCCTGATTTAATATATCACACAGATATTTCTTTTAAGATTTAAAAATCTTTAAACAGAGGTTGTAATCTCCAGCTTTGACCGACAATTGCTTTTCCAGTTGTTTCCCCCTTCTCCCCTCTTACTAAAAGGAGTAATTAGTTCCTGGTAGCTTTCTGATGCTGGCAAAACTGTTAGCTGCATTTCCCCACTTCTTCAGGAGGTTGAATCTCTCCTTGTTCAGTTTCCATCCATTATTCCTTGTCTGGCCTTTGGGTGCTTTGGAAAATAGCTTGACTCCGTCCTCTCTCTTCCAGCCCCTCAAATATTGGAACACTGCTATCCTGTCTCCTCTGGTCCTTCTCTTCACTAGACTAGCCATGCCCAGTTCCTGCAACTGTTCATCATACATTTTAGCCTCCAGTCTCCTAATCATCTTGGTTGCTCTTCTCTGCACTAACTGCAGAGCAGTTAATATTAGTAGGAAATGACACCAATGTGCTAAATAGCTGACTTGCATTCTCAGGCTAAGTTTTTATCTACTCAAGTCTTATTTTTTACTGATGCTGTCATGCCCACAGAGACCTTACTCACAAATAATGGCCATCATGGAGTTGAAATTCCCAATGTTGAAGCATTCTCTTGCCACATCAATGAAAAATTCCACGATTCTTGTTCTCTGCTTTTTCTTCACCACCTGCAACATTAAAAGGATATTCGGTGAGAAGAGGGGAACCGTACTAATCGTCTCCTTTTAATGACCCCATAATCCCTTGCGGGGCGGAGTCTGGGCAACTGAATGGAGTTGAGTTTTTACTGGCCAGATGCCCTTCCTGTCAACAATGTGGAATTTTTTTTCCCCAGCAGATATATTCTCATTGTGCCCAGAAAGAGAAATAATTGCCTCTACCTAGGATCGAACTCACAGCCTCCTGATTGTAAGGCGAGAGCTCCACCTCTAGGCCACCGCACCACCGAAGAACTGTACTAATACCACAGGAATATTAAACTAATAGCAGAGCCAACACATTTGTTGTTGGAAAATCGACAGAATGAATTCCATTTTTCATGGAAGTCTTCAGGGTTAGGCAGTATGTTGAATTTCTCCTCTGTCTTTTAGGAGAACACCAAAATCCTGCATGTTGAGTTGTTAGGTGCTAAGTGTGATTCCCTGCTTTAGGTATTCAGGGTTTTAAGTGCTTCTGAACTAGCAAGAATTTAAATAATTTCCTTCTAATCAGGAGAAGAAATGCATGAAAAAAAATGCCTCTAGTGAGCTAAATACGGAAAAGTGTTTAAATTTTCTAGCCTTAAAAGATAGAAACTGCCAAATATGTTGTTCCGCTTCTAAAAAGAGAAGATTGCTTTGATCCTGTAGGGTTTTGATTATGACTGTCAGATGTAAATGCCTTATTCTCTAATGTGTAAATAGTGTACAGACAGGGTATCAGGGGTTAACTTATTCTTCACTTCTTAATGTATTCATAATTCACCACTCCCACATATAGCTCCACCCATTGTATATATAAGGAGCTACCTACACCCTTTCCCTTGCTTCTATCTATGAATATTCAGTGAATATAGAATGCCTAATGTAAATAAAAGAATATATAGTTAAATCTTTAATTCTTGCTAATCTTATTGAGTCTGATCCTGAAAATATTGCAACAATGACACTGAGAAGCCATAATTTTTAAGCGTCATACTTGATGCAGAACATATTCTACCCTAAAACAAAACATTCCTCGCTTCAAATATGCAAATAAATGAGACCAATAAGCTTAAAAGCTGATTTGATTCAACTTAATTACAACGGCTGTTGAATTCAGGTTTGGATTATCTCCTGATTACATATTTTATTACACAGATCCCACAAGGACTTCGAGATATTTCCTCCCAACAATGCTCTTAGGTCAACAATGACAATTATCCTTTAATACACCGAGATGTTTTTCTGCATAAAATATGGGCAATCAGCCGAGAGCGAGCCACGCAATGCATTTCATATCTGACCATGCTCTACTTGGCCATTTGGAGGTCTCTGATCACCAGAGACTGTTCAGATTAACCAATATGATGCAGGGATATCTACAGGCCTTTAATCATCTTAGTTGCTCTTCTCTGCACTTTTTCCAAAGTCTCAACATCTTTTTTTGTAATGCAGGGAACAAAACCGGATGCAGGATTCTAGGTGTGGCCTTACTAAGGCTTTATAAAGCGGTACTAATGCTTCATGTGATTTTGATTCACTGCTCCAATAGCAGGCAATTTTGGAAAATTGTATAACAGCGATGAACATCGTTGCTTGGAAGACAGATAATGCCTTAACTCTCCAGCATGAATCAGGTCTAAATACTTTGATGAAAGTCACAGCAAAATAAAGAAAAGCAGATTTATTGATCGACAGGAGTTGTTCTCCTGGCATGTGAATCAGCTACCCTCAAAACAGAGACATTGAACTGGTTAGTAGTACATCCATCTCCCAGTACATTCCTTTCTCCTGTGGGTACTTACCCTACAAATCTCTGTTGCCACCAACATACTGAGGCAGTTAAACCAATTGTCGTAGGCTTCGAGATTGTAGGTCTTCGTAACATCGCTTCGGCACTGAAAAATCAAACATCCGCGGTTAGACCTGAGTCAAAATGAGGACACCGCTTCCAGCAAAGTCATCATTTCTTCTTCATAAGTAAACCCAGCTTAGACGTATGTTTAACAGATTAACAGAGTGAAAGGGACCTCGTAGGTCATCTAGTCCAACCCCTCGCCCAAGCAGGAGACCTTATACCTGTGATGGCGAACCTATGGCACACGTGCCACAGGTGGCCCGAGGAGCCGTATCTGTGGGCATGTGAGCGTTGCCCTAGCTCAGCTCCAGCATGCATGCACGCGCTGGCCACCTGATTTTCGGACCTTCCGGGCCCACCGGAAATCAAGAAACGGGCTGTTTCCAGCTTCCGTAGGGCCTCGGGGCCCTAAAAAGACTCTGGAGCCTGGGGAGGGTGAAAAACGGGCCTATAGGGTCCACCATGCTATCACGTGCCAAAAGCGGGGAAAGAATGGGGGGGGTCACACACGCATGTGTGGGGGTGGTTTGGGGTGCATTGAATTATGGGTGTGGGCACGTATGCGCGCAAACCCTCCACACTCCCCCCACTTTTGGCACACAATGGCAAAAAAGTTAGCCATCACTGCCTTATACTATTTCTGACAGATGGCAGTCCAGTCTCTTCTTGAAAGCTTAGTATAGCATTTTTAGTAGTTTAGTATTTTTTTTTAAAAAAAATGGACCTCTCCCAAGTAGCAACCTGCTTTTAGGAGATTCTGAGTATGCATGTGAAACAGCGATAGGATTTTCACAGTCCAAATGTGTACCCTGTCTATAGGTAGTCCTTGACTTACAACAATTCATTTAGTGACTGTTTGAAATATACAAACAATAAAAACAACAGGGTGGATTTAAATCACTAGTAAAAAGGCTTGATTTAAATCAATTCAATTTAAATCATAATTTTTAAAGAGGAACTGTCATCTCTGCCCCGCAGCGGCTCCTCCTCTGACCTACAGTTGACTCACTGACAGTCCCAATATTGCAGAATATATAGCCTCATGCGACATAATGAAGCTCCATTTCATGCTGAATAAACTAAATTATTAATGTATCTTAAATAGGAAACTATCTTTAGATAGATTTTTTACTCCAAATGCATTTTATTAAAATAAATTGGATAAAAATAAAAAAAAATCTGATTTAAATAAAAAAAATCAATTTTTTTGCTTTTTTTTGAAAAAAAATCATGCATTTTTATCCACCCTAAAAAACAATAACCCCCACCCCACCCCCACAACAATCAAATGAACTACTTGATGGGCTCCATCCCACTGTGGGATACTCCAAGCCTGTTGGAAAATGCCAGGTCTTCAGGGCCTTGCGATGAGGGTCAAAGTGGGGGCCAGTCTAATTTCTGAAGGGATGATGCTCCACAGGGAGGGAGCCACCACAGAGAACGCTCTTATTCTGGGTCCCACCAGACGGACTTTCTTAAAAGAGGGGGACCCACAACATTACCTGCCTCCCTGCCATTCTGTTGGGTTGGATAGATGTCACCAGGAAAGGATAGTCCTTCAGATAATCTGGTCCCAAGCCATGTAGGGCTTTGAAGGTGACAACTGGCAGCCTTGAATTCTATCCGGAAGCAGATCGGCAGCCAATGTGGCTCCCGCAAGAGAGATGACACCTCTTCACATCTGGATCTTCCCACATATCATTTTGGGAAGATTTTGAACATACATTTTGAACCAATTGAGGTTTCCTGATACTTTTCAAGAGCAGTCCCAGGAAGAGTGCATTACAATAGTCAAGACGGGAGGTGACTAGGGCGTGACTAGAGATTGTTGGTTAATCTTTCTCTTTCCCATGTCCGCTTCATTCAAATTTTGAAAACTCACCTTGTGGTTATCCAGGGAATCCACATGACTGACTATCTGCATGAGATCTTCTGGATAAATGTTGCTTACCCTCTCCTGAAACAAAAAAAGATGATCAAGATCACAGATGTGTAAAGAAGACACCGATGTAACATTAAGAGGTGCGCTTTTCATCCCAGTGTAGACAACTGCCTATTACCAGTGATGGCGAACCTTTTTGGCACCGAGTGCCCAAACCGGAATGTGCATGCATGTGTGTGCATGGGCATGCGCCGGAGTGCTGAAAACCCGAAGACCAGCTGGCTGGCGCATGCATACCTGTTTTTTGGCCATTTTTTTGGCTGTTTTCAGGCCATTTGAAAATGGCCCCAAAATGGCCTGAAAATGGCCCAAAAAAAACAGTCCGGAAAACAACCTGGAAAACGGCCCAGAAAACGGCCTGTTTTTGGGCCTTTTTGCAGGCCATTTTCTGGCACTCCAGTGCCCACACAGACCAGCTGGCTAGCGTGCATGTACTTGCCAGAAACCAGAAGAGCAGCTGGTGATGGCGCACATGCCCACAGAGGGGGCTCTGCATGCCCCCTCTGGCACGCGTGCCATAGGTTTGCCATCACGGGCCTATACACTTGGAACAAAGCGCTGTTTAAAAATGAGCGTTTTTCTTGGCTTCTCTTGTGCTTAGCTGTTTTTCATTCTTACACATATTTGAGCAGTAAAGAGCTGGCAAGTGACAAGTTACACAAACTTTTGAGTTCTGACAAAGCCGTCCTCTGTACTTGCCCATTGTCTTCCTCCCCTCTTGGAGTAGCCTTTCTAAAACAGCTGGTTTCGAATCGGAGAATTTGCAATGTCATGAAGCAAAGAAAGGACTGTTGTGGCTCGCTGGCAGCCAGCGGAGCTGGCAGCAGAGTCGGACAATGAGGGGGGGGGGGTGGGGAGGAACATGGGCCAGTCCTGGGGGCTGGGGAAAGCTTGGATGAGGGCTCTGTGTCAGAGGCAGAGAGGGAGCTAGACAGCTATGAGGCAGAGGAACAGCTGGAGCCTGTTCCCAGTGTGTGCATGCACAGAGCTGCCAGAAGATAAGAACAACGAAGAAAGCAGGGTCGATTTAGGAATAAAGCCACACCTAGGAGGTGATTGGCTCCTCCCATAGGAAACAAAAGAGGAGTGAACAGGGAGTGGGCTTTTGCAAGAAACAACTCATTCATTTGTTCATTTCAAGAGTGGGAAGATCTGGCTGTGCCAAGTTTTGCCTTGCACTGCATTTGGAAACTAGTTACCTGGCAGCTTTCCAAGTGAGATAAGGTCTGTGTTGATAAATATTCCTCTGAAAGACTATTTGCCAGGCCTTGCTGACTGTGAATTAAAGTAATTCACAGTCATTTAAATAAAAACGGTTTTGCCAGGACCAAGTCTCTGCTTCCTGCTTTTTAAGGGAGCCTAGGTCAGAACAGAACAGAACAGAACAGAACAGAACAGAACAGAACAGAACAGAACAGAAAAGGGATGCAGTGGATCAATGGCTAAGAAGCTGAATTTGTTGATTGAAAGGTCGGCAGTTCAGCGGTTCGAATCCCTAGTGCCGCGTAACGGGGTGAGCTCCCGTTACTTGTCCCAGCTTCTGCCAACCTAGCAGTTCGAAAGCATAAAAAACATGCAACTAGAAAAATAGGGACCAGCTTTGCTGGGGAGGTAACGATGTTCAGTGTGCTTCTGGCATTGAGTCATGCTGCCCCCATGACCAGGGAGACGTCTTCGGACAGCACTGGCTCTTCGGCTTTGAAACAGAGATGAGCACCACCCGCTAGATTCGGGAACGACTAGCACATATGTGCGAGGGGAACCTTTACCTTTAGGTCAGAACAAGGACAAGGAAGGGCTCACTCACCAGTTCGATGTGTGTTAGCTGCTGCGCAAGGACCAGAGGGTCACAGCACACACTCAGAACGTCCTTCTGGGATGCCTGTGGCTTAGTTTTGAGGATAGCACCCTTGTCGGACCCCGGTTGGCGAAACTTTTCTCGGATCTCTTGGTACTGATTGCGGGCAGCAAGAGCCATCAGAAGATCTTGTGTCATCTGGCTGATGATCTTCTTGACCGTTCCATTTTCCTAATCCATAAAATAGAAGAGTTGATTGAGAACAGGTAAATTATTCTGGGCAGGGCATTGGAGTAGAAGACCGCCAAGGGCCTCTTCCAACTTGGTTATTTTGTAAGGGTAGACCTCTCCTTACAACTGTTCTTTTGAAGTTGCAAAGGCACTGGGGGAAAAAAAGACTTGTGATCATTTTTCCACACTTAAGACTTGCAACATCCCCATGGTCAGGTGACCCAAATTTGGTTGCTTGACCACTGGTGTGTATTTACGACGGTTGCAGTGTCCTGGGGTCATGTGATCCCCTTTTGGGTCCTTTTTTGGGACAAGGAAAGCCAGATTCACTGAACAGCCATGTCACTGAATATAGCAACTAGAGTGATTCACTTAACAACGGCAAGGACAAAGGTTGTAAAATGAGGGCAAAGCTCACTTAACAGCCATCTGGCTTAGCAATGGAAATTGGGGGCTCGATTGTCATCGTTGGTTGAGGACTACCTGTGTAAATTCTGTATAAATATTTTGAAAAGGCTGATGGGTTTAGAATTCAATCTCAAGCAAACGAATTGTTCCTGCCAAATTTGCTTAAGGCCACCACCTATGGGTTTTCATCACCGAGAAATATTCCAAGGCTACAAAATTTTTGCTTATATTCTTCCCTAGCTAAGGACTAGTGCTGCATTATATTTATAGCTGCATTCAGAGGTGGTATTCAGCCAGTTCAGGCAGGTTCGTCTGAATTGGTAGTGGCAACCTGCGGGTGGGCCTGCCCCCGCCCACCCGCAATCCTGTCCTATATTGCTGTGTTTTTGACGCTGCATGCATGTGTGGATGGCACGTGTGCGTGAATTGCACACTCACATTTCCAGTGCTGGGCGAACCGGTTGCTACAGTGTGTGAATCCCACTTCTGGCTGCATGGTATATGGGTGTTGCTGCCTCAGTCTTCTCTTTATACAGGTAGACCTCAACTAACGACCGCAATTGAGCCCAATTTTTTGTTGCTAACTGAGACGTTCGGTTAAGTGAATTTTGCTCCGTTTTATGACCTTTCTTCCCACAGTTGTTAAGTGAATCAAAGTGCTCAATTTTTTTTAAAAAAAATTTTCACCGGTCAAACTGGTTATCGGTGTAATATGTATCCCAGCCTAAGTCCTGCTGTAGGTATTTCCCACCTGCCATCTTGGAGACAGATAATTAGGTCTAATCAGTTACGGCATCATCGTAACTGGAAGATTAAGATATAGAATTAGACAATTGGCAAAAAAATTTGGGAAAGAAACTACAAACTAACAACATCAACAACACATAAAGACAATCTTTACAAAATGTTCTACAGATGGCATTTGCCACCATCAAGAATGGCAAAGATGTTCCAAAACATATCTCCAGAGTGCTGGAAATGTAAACAGATACCGGGTTCCTATTGCCATATGTGGTGGACCTTGTCCAAAGGCAAAAAAAAATATATGTATATTTAAAAGAGATTTGATACAGACAGTACACTGCCATTGCAGAAATGGAAATGTTATCTATAAAAAAAGGAAAATTATAATAAAAATAATAATTTTAAAAAAGTGCTCAATTTTTTTAAAAAAATCTTCACCGGTCAAACTGGTTATGGGTGTAATATGTAGCCCAGCCTAAGTCCTGCTGTAGGTATTTCCCGCCTGCCATCTTGGAGACAGTCTCTGGCTTCCCTAATTAGATCTAACCAGTTACGGCATCATGGTAACTGGAAGATTAGGATGCATTTGCCTTGATGATGTAGGTGCTAACATGCTATTTGTGTGTGTGTGTGTGTGTGTAACTTAATTGGGATCTCAAAAATATGCTTAATGGACTTTGGTTAAACATCTTCATCCTGCCTGCGTAGGTGTGAATACCTCTTGAGGTTAAGCATCTCCGTTCAGACCTGAGACTTGAAAGAACAAGCCGATACAATAACTTGCTTCCTTGTTCCTGAAATTTCAGACATGTCTGCATTTTTGCCTACTTAGAGATGAAGAACTCATACAACAATGACCACATTTAAATTTTTAAAAAAATGTATTTTTTTTTTTAAAAAAGAAATAACAAATGGCTATAGGGAGAAGCTATAGGGAGATGCAAGGGATGTGGTGGCTCAGTGGCTAAAATGCTGAGCTTGTCGATCAGAAGGTCGGCAGTTCAGTGGTTCGAATCCCTGGAGCCGTGCAACAGAATGAGCTCTAGTTACTTGTCTCAGCTTCTGCAAACCTAGCAGTTCCAAAGCAGGTAAAAAATGCAAGTAGAAAAATAGGGACCACTTTGGTGGGAAGGTAACAGTGCTCCATCCACCTTCAGTGTTGAGTCATGCTGGCCACATGACCACGGAGATGTCTTCGGACAGTGCTGACTCTTTGGCTTAGAAACGGAGATGAGCACCACCCCAAGAGCCAGAAATAACTAGCACGCATGTGCGGGGAACCTTTGCCTTCACCTTATAGCGAGATGCATGCATGGTTTTATGCCAGGGGTGTCCAACCTTGGCACCTTTAAGACCTGTGGACTTCAACTGCCAGAATTCCCCAGCTAGAAGCTGGCTGGGGAATTCTGGGAGTTGAAGTCCCCAAGTCTTAAAAGTTGCCAAGGTTGGACACCCTTGCTTGACACGATCATCTGCTACTTTGGCTCAGCAGACCATCTCGCTGAAACAAAACAGTTTGATAGAACAAGCAACAAAAGAGACAACGTTTCTAAAACATCTGATGTAAAATCAAAAAAATCCCTGCAAATAATCATTAAAAAAAAATAAACCCATCATCTCAAAGAGGAAATATCCCCTTTAAACCTTCCCCTGTCATCCTAATTTACCCCTTGCCACGGCCACACAGATGGGAACATCCTTCAACCTTGAAAGATTAAATTCTGTATATTTCTGCTTCTCCATCTAGTGAGCATTGGCATCTATGTCTCTGTAATTTCTTGAGCATCTGTGGAGGGGTTTTGGGGGGCAGGGAGGGGGTACATATTCCAGCTAGAGCTAATATTTAGTTTTTGGCTTGTCTGGCATTATTTTTTCCAGTGGGCCATTTGACATTCGTCAGGGTTCCTGAACAATGGCACATTCTCACTGGATTTAATTACTCGTGGTTTTAAATTGAAAATTGCAGAGACCTGGATTAATGGTTTATCTCTCCAACTTTGGAAGTAAGCCTGGGACATTTATAGAGTTGGTTTCTCTTCCACGGGGCCACATGATCCTGAATTGGCTGATGAGGGCTGTGTGATGATTTAGATTTGAAAGCAAAGAGGTGGCTTGGGCCATGCTGAGGTATGAAGTTGGCTTCAGAGGTGGGTTTCAGCAGGTTCGGACCAGTTCGATAGCAGAAATTTTGAGTTTTTTCCCATACGCCATCACTCTGCTAAACAAATAATTCCCTCAACACTGTCAAACTATTTACTAAGTCTGCACTACTATTAATCTTCTCATCGTTCTCATCGCCCATCTCCTTCCACTTATGACTGTATGACTGTAACTTTGTTGCTTGTATCCTTACGATTTATATTGATATTGATTGTTTCCTGATTGCTTATTTCTACCCTATGACTATCATTAAGTGTTGTACCTTATGATTCTTGATGAACGTATCTTTTCTTTTATGTACACTGAGAGCATATGCACCAAGACAAATTACTTGTATGTCCAATCACACTTGACTAATTAAAAAAAATATATATGAAATTTTGAGTAGTTTGGAGAACTACCACCTCTGTCTGGCCCCGCCCCCATCTATTCTCTGCCTCCCAAGTCCCAGCTGATTGGGAGGAAATGGGGATTTTGCAGTAACCTTCACCTGGGGTGGGGAGGGAATGGAGATTTTACAGTATCCTTCCCAAGCCACGCCCACAGAACACCCCCACAGTAAAAAAAAATTGAATCCCACCACTGATTGGTTGCCTTGAATCTGAAGCATTGCATATTTCTAACTTGCACCCATTTCCAGTTTTAGATATTTTTTTTCATGAATTTCGGGACTAGGAACCATGAGTTTATTACAACAAAAATAAATAAAATGGGGACGGGTTTGTACACTAATCCTGGTCACATTAGAAGTGGCTTTCTTTTTTCTTGGGTTCAGGATGCTTTTGACTTTCCAGTGGAAACTCAGATTAGATTCCATTAGACCAGAATAACCAACGCAAATAACATGTAAGCAACGTATTAGGCAGAGGAACACTTCTAACAGACTAATGCAGAATAGCAAGAGTTGGAAGGGACTTTGAAGGTCTTCTAGTCCAACCTCCTGCTTAATCAGGAGACCCTATACCATTTCAGACAAATGGTTGTCCAATCTCTTCTTAGAAACACTCCAGTATGGAGCACCCACAATTTCTGGAGTAAAGCCATTCCACTGATTAATTGTTCCATCAGGAAAACCCTAGAATTTCCTATTGGTGCCCCATCCCAATACAGCCACTTCTGACCCTGCTTAGTTTTTTATTGCCAGCTTATTATTTTTTTCCTTTTCCTTTTTAATTTTTTTTAATTTCCTTTTCCTTTTTAATTTAATTTTTAAATTAAATTTTGTTTGCCGCCCGTCTTGCTTTGAAGCAACTCTGGATGACTTACACCATTAAAAGCAATAAAAACCACAAAACCAGTTTTCTATCATCACCTTCCTGAGCCTTTTTACGACACTTTTTCTTTAATCAGATGTGGCCCCACCCATGGGACGCCTATTTTGGGAAAAGCAGCGAATTAAACCTGACTGCCAAAGAAAACAAGAATTTCCTTGCAGTCTACCAGTTTTGAAAGCATGTGCTTGCAAGCATGTTTTTAATCATTACCCATATGACCTCCACCGTGGCTTCTCCTCCTCAAGATGTGACATTCCAGTAAACAGCTGGACTGACGAATTGGAACATGTCCGGCTGACGACACTCTTAATAGTTAAGTGTCAAGTTTAATCATCAAAGGTGCAGTCTGCTTTATAGCTATTAATGTTTTTAAATAAGCACAGACTCAATTACTCTTAAAGCTTTATGACCAATCTCAAAAGATCATATTTTTTATTTATTTATTTTTAAAAAAGGCCTTATTATCTTTACATTTTGCATTACTTAATACCGCGTGGTGCGTTCTTCAAAAATCATTTAGTAGAAACATCTTGGCCCTCATATGAAAGCGAGTGCAAACATTCATCCAAGCAAACTGACCTGCTGGAGGGGATTTGGTTGGAACCAAAACAAAGATTAGTTTTTTTCAAAGCAGCAGTCAAAAAATTGGGCTGCTTTAATGAGTTGCAAAGAGGTGCTTTGTCAGGTCTGAACCCTTTGTCTGTGGAGATTCTCAGGCATCCAGGTCGTGGTTGTCCCAAAGGTGCTTTTTTAAAAGGCAATTGGATTTCCTTTTTTTTCCCTTGAAGATGTTTCGCTTCTCATCCAAGAAGCTTTAGAACAGTGCTAACTCAGAACTGAAGAAGCTTTTTGGATGAGAAGCGAAACAACTTCAAGGAAAAACAAAGGAAGTCCAGTTGCCTCTTGAAAAAGCACCTTTAACATCTGAACCAGGGATGGGCGGCTGGGGGTTGGCAGGGGTTCGGGAGAACCTCTAGCTAAGATTCTGTACAGTTCAGAGAACCCCCACATCAGTGGTGGGTTGCTCCCGGTTCTGTCCGGTTCTTGCGAACCAGTAGTAAAAGTGGCGGGAGACTCCGCCCACCCACCTGGACGTCATAATTGATGATCTGCACATGTGCAGAAGCTTCTGCGTGCACACTCCCGTTGCAAACCGGTAGTAAAGATAAGTAAAACCCACCCCTGTCCCAAATCAAACTCCTGGCTGGCCTCACCCATCCCACCCCTCCCAGGAGTCCCCACATGATCCGTTTTGGATGCAGGTAAGTGCAGGGTGTGCACAGAGGCTCAGGGAGGGTAAAAAATGAGCTACCAGAAGTTTGGGAAAGCCAGAAAGGGGCCTGTTTCCAGCTTCCAGAGGGCCTCCAGAGCCTGGGGAGGCCATTTTCACCCTCCCGGAGGCTCAAGAAAAGCCTCCAGAGCCCAGGGAGGGCAAAAAGCCCCCCACCAGAGCCCAGGGAGGGCAAAAAGCCCCCCCCAGAGGGCCTCCAGAGCCTGGGGAGGCCATTTTCACCCTCCCTCCGAGGCTCAAGAAAAGCCTCCAGAGCCCAGGGAGGGCAAAAAGCCCCCCCCAGCCGTGGTGCAGGAGGCCGACTAGGCCACGCCCACCATGGCCATGCCCACCCAGCAACTGGGCCGAGAACCCATTGCTAAAATTTTTGAAACCCACCCCTGATCTGAACCCCTTCTCCAAAATAAGTGTGCAGAGAAACACCGCTGGCAAAATAATGTCTTCCTAATAGGAGTTTGAATTCCATCTGTTGTATTTATCCCATTTCTGGCTGTTTCTTTGCCTAATGTGTCTAGGAAGGGAAGTTTAGGGATCTATAAATCCTTACTCTGTTTAGAACGATCGATTCAAGCTCCTGTCTTGGAAGTGAGCAAACACCACAGCAGCAATGTTAGGTAGCAAAAGGAGGAGGCTTGTTTGCTTTCCAGAAAAGAATGGAAGAAAAGGCAGCAATCAAATCACAAGGCCGGGCTGCATTCCCACAACCAATAAATAATTGTGGCTATCAAGAGCAACACATGATACTATTCTGGCAGCTGATTCAATGCGTTGGGTTTTTTTTTTAAAAAACAAACCGCCGTTTAGCTCTGCAATAAAGCATTCTTGAAAAGACAGAGGGGTTTAAACAGCAATAGCAATCGCACTTAGATTTATATACAGCTTTCACAGTGCTTCACAGCCGTCTCTAAGTGGTTTACAGAGTCAGCCTTTCGCCCCCAACAATCTGGGTTCTGCATTCTAACTGCCAGGAGGGAGGGAGGGAGGGAGGGAAGGAAGGAAGGAAGGAAGGAAGGAAGGAAGGAAGGAAGGAAGGAAGCAATAGCACTTAGACTTCACAGTGCTTTTACAGCCTCTCTAAATGGTTTACAGAGTCAACCTCTTGCCCCCCAAAATCTGGGTCCTCATTTTATTGACTTCAGAAGGATGGAAGGCTGAGTCAACCTTGAACCGGTCAGGATCAAACTCCAAGCTGTGGGCAGAGTTAGCCTGCACTACTGCATTTCTAATAACCGTGCCACCACAGCTCTAAATGTTAAATGTTTCCTTCTAGTTTGGCTGTATCTTTGCTGGGCTTTGAAAGAGGAAAATATTTTGGAAAACATGGATGTGCACCGAAAGATCCTTCTGATCCAAAGTGCTCCATGTCCCAACTGTGTAGGGCAAATTAGTCAACAGTCTGTCTGTCTCAGTGCTGCCTAAGACATAAATCTACTGCTCCCAATAAACATTTTTCCCTTTGACAAGTTAATACATGGGTTGGTAACAGTGAGCTTTTTTTTTTTTTTTCTTTCCCACCACTCATTCTTTTTTCTTCCTTACCTCATCACACTGGGTGATCCGGTGAGCAATTTCCTTTAGCTCCTTCATGGATTTCTCATCCTGGAAGTCATATGGAAATGTTTCAGTCCATTCTTTCAGAAGCTGGATTATCTTCGCTGCAAAGGCCTTGAGCTTCCCCTAAATGAGAACAGGGGGTTTGTTAATCAGGGTACCAAAAATCTTCCTAACTCTGAATTTTGGGCAACCTTGTGATTCTGTTCAGTGCCAAATGTAGGAGAGAGGTGCGAGGGTGTGAGAGCGAGGAAGGGGTCAAATGCATCATCAGCCTCGAATCCTTTCATGCCCACAAGAGATTTAAGTCCATCCCTCCTTGAATTCTGTTGACTCTTTTATTTCTTTATTTTTTAAAAAAATTTAAATAAGGATAATTCTTTCATATGGAAAGAGCTAATACAATCACATATTTGAAAGGAGAAATCATACAAACTGGGAAAACAAAACAAACAAAAAAACAAAAAAGAAACCCGACCTCCCCCTCTCCCCCCCCCCCCCAAAAAAGAGAAAGAAAGAAAAACCACCCCATAAAAGGGCGAACGAGAACTGTCTTTTACCAGCCTTGGCAGTTCTCCGAAAGATTTTAAAACGCGTTCCATGTCTGCAAATGTTATTCACTGTTTGCCCTTTCAAATATCTGCTCTACATGAAAAGACAAAACACAGGAGAAGCCCCCCCCCAAACAAAACAAAAACAAACAAAAAGAATTTACTCTACAGGTTTGCAAGATTAAAACATGAACAGGTACAATACCATCTTTAAAATAAAATTTAAAAAAAGAATGTGATTTATACTGTTGACTCTTATCTACTGCCAATTTGCTTTTTTTTTTTTATTTGATTTATATGCCGCCCTTCTCCGGAGACTCAGGGCGGCTTACAATGCGCTAAGCAATAGCCTTCATTCTTTTGTATATTTATACAAAGTCAGCTTATTGCCCCCACAAACTGGGTCCTCAATTTACCTACTTTAGAAAGGATGGAAGGCTGAGTCAATCTTGAGCCTTGGCGAGATTCGAACCTGCAGTAATTGCAGGCAGCTGGTCTTAATAACAGGGTGCCTTAGACCACTGTACTACCAAGGCTCTTTGACTAACAGTCAAGGCTATGACTGTTAGTCAAAGAGACTATAGAGAACTAGCATGGACTAGCTGCACTCATTTGAACAAACTCATTTGATTCCTGAACCTTCAATTAGAAAAAGGGAGAATTAAAAGAAAAGAAAAGATAAATTTGTATTTGTGTTTACTCTTTGCTTCCAGAAGTTGTGGATGCTCCAGTTTTTGAGGCTTTTAAGAAGAGACTGGACAGCCAATTGTCCAGTTCTCCTGCTTGAATCAGTGGGTTGGACTCGAAGACCTCCAAGGTCCCTTCCCATTTGGTTATAGAACATTCTGAAATAACATTCTGTATACTGCATTATGTTAGACCTAAGCTGGTTCTCTAAATCGGCTTGGCTTTGAAATTTGTTTATAAAGAGAAAGATTATAGGTATGGATAAATGCTTATCCCAGCACACTGCCAACACCATGAGTTGAAAGAAGACTCTGCAGCTCAAAGAAACATGAAATGAATTGGACATGGCAAGGAAGGGTTTTAAAGGCTCCCGGTGAAAAACACTAGCAAATCTAAGTGCTATTTTATACTCCTAGGATAAAGGATCCTTCAGGCTCACTTAGCTTGAAGCTTTTCAACTCCTCTAAAACCAGTATAAATAGCAGGCTGGTGCCTGCGTTTTGAAGTGGGTGAGAGTTTTCAGCATTTCCAAATGGGGGTATATTTGTGGAATTTTTATACAAGAGAACAAAAAGCACTGGTCACATCATCCCTGGAGAAAGTGGGCTGTGTTCCTTGAACATCTTCAGAATTTGCAGTGGGATTCGGGTTTTTAATATGGGAGAAGAGCATGAAAAATATTAAATGCATGACTTGAGATCAATCATACAAATTAATAATGAATTAAGTAGATACGTCAATGAGATCAAATCAAAATTATTTTTGTCTTAATTTCATTAGAGAATAGAATAGAATAGAATAGAATAGAATAGAATAGAATAGAATAGAATAGAATTCAGAACAGTGTAGAGTAGAGTGTATAGCAGAGCAGAGCAGAGCAGAGCAGAGCAGAGAGGAATAGGAATAGGAATAGGAATAGGAATAGGAATAGGATTAGGAATAGGAATAGGAATAGGAATACGGGTAACAGAGTTGGAAGGGACCTTGGAGGTCTTCTAGTCCAACCCCCTGCTCAGGCAGGAGACCCTATATCATTTCAGACAAATGGTTGTCCAATCTCTTCTTAAAAGCTTCCAGTGTTTTTAAGAGCACCCACAACTTCTGAAGCCAAGTTGTTCCACTGATTAATTGTTCTAACTGTCAGGAATAGGGCCCCCAGCATAGGGGCATCCATGGTGGGAAGGGTAAAAAATGAGTCAGGATGGCCACAGCTGTACAATCAAAGCTTGGTCCCTTTATTTCCAGGAGATAACAGAACAAAAAGTGTGACTTTGCATGGTTGCGACCTCCACCTTGACTTTCTGGAAAGTGTCACTCCTGTGAATGGACCATCCTAGCACACCGCTTAATGGTTGATTAAAGTGGGATGGAAGAACTTCTTGAGAAGAAGAAAAACGCAACTCTTCCTAGCGTTATCAAATTCATAGAGAGATGTTCCTCCAGATTTATTGGACATTAGCTTGAATTCAAAGATGATCAGATTTCAATGGGGCATTGTTGGAGAGAGTTGGAAATATGCTTCCTTATTGAGTCAGTCAACCGTGGCCTGGAGGGTGGGGACTTTCTGGTCCCCCTTTGGTCACAGGACGTTTTGTTCATTGCTCCTGGTGCCCATTGTTGCCATAAACCTCATCCTGTTTCTTTATATTCGTATGGATGGCTGGTTATTAATTGAAAGCTAGTTCTCAAGGAAGGGAAATGCTTAAATGCTTGTTCTGGGAGTGAGTAGAGAGATTTCTTTGAACGAAGTGGTGAGAAGCAAGGACTTCCTTTGTTCACCCTTCTAATCAGATCAGCTGAAAAGTTCATGACTGTTTCTCCCTCTTTTGAAAGAGGAAGGAAAACGGGTTATTCCTTCTGTGCTGTGTACCCTTGCTTGGGAATTGAGAGAGTCCAAGAAATGCCAAATTAGTCCAATTCCCTTTAGGAGAAAAAGGAAGATGTATTTTATTTTGAATTTCCTCTACAAGAGAATGCTCGGTTTAAGTTGGGATTCTGCAATAATGATGATGATGATGATGCCGCCTGGAGACAGCAGAAGAGAAGAGAAAGAACTGGAGAAGATAGCAAAATACAAAGACCTACAAATAGAAATAGAACAACTATGGCAAAGGCAAGCAAGAGTAGTACCAATAGTAATAGGGGCCTTGGGTGCAGTCCCAAAACAACTGGAGCACCACTTAAACACCATCGGCATTGATAAATTTGCCATCCGTCAATTGCAGAGGGCAGCTTTACTTGGAACTGCTTCCATCCTGAGACGATATCTATAACACTGTCAAACATCCAGATTTGCCTATCCCAGGTTCTTGGTAAGGACTTGATAGGTAGGCAAAAATGCCAAACCCAGTCTGAACATCTGGCTAGCTGTGTGAATCATCATCATCATCATCATCATCATCATCATCATCATCATCATCATCATCATCATTCTCCCTGGCAACAGCATGGAAGGAACTGCTGCTATCTATTGTGAAGTTCTTAAGACATCCCAAGCTTGGTGTTCTCAACTAAGTTACTTGCCTCCTGCTAAGTCACAGGAGAGTTGGGAATCTCATTTATAATTGTCCAAATTGAACTCTTGAAAATTTCAAATGATTTCTCAGGTAACTGGGTGATCCTAACATCCCTTTCGTCCTAAGCGGGTGGCTTCAACGGGTTTGTTTCACTTCCCTTCTTGTGGCACCCAATACTTTTGATTTTGGATGACACCATCATCATTCAATCAATTAGAATAGAGCTGGGAGGGACCTTGGAGGTTTTCTAGTCCAACCCCCTGCTCAAGCACTTTATTGAGTCTCCATCATCATCATTGACAAAAGATTGGACTTGAAACTTCTTCAAACGCTCCCAAAAACTCTAGGTCTCTGCTGAAGGAGAAAGAATATAGAGAAGGAACATCAAACTAGATATTGAGGACTTTATATAGGCTAACAAGGTGGTCAGGAAGGAGAGGTGGTAGAACATGGTCCAATCACTTTTCTTCTTCTTCTCCTAAATTTCCAGGGATCACGTTTAAACAGATTGCTCACTCTTTTTCACTCTACTAACACAGGCAGCATTTAGTATTTTGGTTGAACTAAAAAAATCTCTGCAGAATCAAGAGTTGGTTAAGTAATCAGATGGAGCTCCACAAAGCTAGACAGGGAAGTAAATAAAATGGACCCTAGAACAAAGCAAATCTAGACACCATACTAAAAGCAGAGACATCACCCTGCCAACAAAAGTGCATATAGTCAAGGCTATGATTTTCCCAGTTGCAATGTATGGCTGTGAAAGTTGGACCATAAGGAAGGCTGAGCGCCAAAGAATTGAGGCCTTTGAACTCTGGTGCTGGAGAAGACTCCTGCGAGTCCCTTGGACTGCAAGGCGATCAAACCGGTCAGTCCTAGAGGAGATCAATCCTGACTGCTCTTTAGAAGGCCAGATCCTGAAGAGGAAACTCAAATACTTTGGCCACCTAATGAGAAGGAAGGACTCACTGGAGAAGAGCCTAATGCTGGGAACTACTGAGGGCAAAAGAAGAAGGGGACAGCAGAGAACGAGGTGGCTGGATGGAGTCACCGAAGCAGTCAGAGTGAGCTTAAATGGACTCCAGAGGATGGTAGAGGACAGGAAGGCCTGGAGGAACGTTGTGAATAGGGTCGTGATGGGTCGGACACGACTTCCCAACTAACAACAAAAGAACAAAGCAAGGGCAACTAAGATTGTTCCCAGGAAAATATCACATATCTGCCTGTAGAATCCAGCTCAGTTCAAGGAGCTGTTGCCTGAAATGCATGCTCCTTCTGCGTTTGATACTGGTAGATGAATATGAAAGTCGTAACTACCTCTCTGCATTTGTAAAATCACTTCAGACCCAGGGTACACATGATGGGAGACGTTGGCTTAAAACAGATCAAACTCTTATAACTGGGATTTGACATTTAAAGAACAAGTCAGATGCTTGTTCCAGATTTTGTAACACATTGGCGTGTTGCATAAAGACATGTTTTGAAGCAATGTTGTTTATGTATAACAAACAAGAACAAAGTGAAGATACTAAGAAAATTGTTCCCTGTTAACTGTCTGGGATATGGGTAACCTAGCTACTCTAGGTAGTGGTTGACTTATGACCACAAATGAGTCCAAAATTTCCATGGCTAAGCAAGGGGCTTGTTAAATAAGTTTTGCCCCATGTTACAACCCTTTCTTGCCGCGATCACTGCAGTTGTAAAGTTAATCACACAGTTGTTGATTGAATCTGGCTTCCCCACTGACTTTAGTAAGATAGTAACAGTAACAGGGACCTTGAAGGTCATCTAGTCCAACTCCCTGCTCACGTAGGAGACCTATACTAGGGATTCGAACCGCTGAACTGCCGACCTTTCTGATTAACAAGCTCAGCATCTTAGCCACTGAGCCACCTAGCCAGGCTACACTTTGCTTGTCAGAAAGTTGCCAAAGGAGATCACATGACCCCGGGACTTTGCAACCGTCATAAATACACGCCAGTTGCATCCAAATTCTGATCACATGACCATCATGTGATTGCAGTGGCCAGAAGTATGAAAAATGGCCGTAACTCCCTTTTTTTCTAATGCCACTGTAATTTCAAATGATCATCAAACCAACTGTTGTAAGTCATATATCCACGATTTACTGTAGTCATATATCATAGAATCATAGAATCATGGAAGGGACCTTGGAAGTCTTCTACTCCAACCCCCTTCCTAGGCAGGAAACCCTACACCACTTCAGACAAATGGTTATCCAACATCTTGTTTAAAACTTCCAGTGTTGGAGCATTCACAACTTCTGGAGGCAAGTTATTTCACTGATTAACTGTTCTAACTGTCAGAAAATTTCTCCTTAGTTCTAAGTTGCTTCTCTCCTTGATTAGTTTCCACCCATTGCTTCTTGTCCTACCCTCAGGTGCTTTGGAGAATAGCTTGACTCCCTCTTCTTTGTGGCAGCCCCTGAGATATTGGAAGACTGCTATCATGTCTCCCTTGGTCCTTCTTTTCATTAAAGTAGACATACCCAGTTCCTGCAACCGTTCTTCATATGTTTTAGCCTCCAGTCCCCTAATCCTCTTGGTTGCTCTTCTCTGCGCTCTTTCTAGAGTCTCCACATCTTTTTTACATCGTGGTGAGCAAAACTGAATGCACTATTCCAAGTGTGGTCTTACCAAGGCATTATAAAGTGGTACATATGTTCTAATGTTCTACTTTTTCAGCAACCACGTCAATTCCACCTTACTATTACATTAGGATTGTTTCCTGAACCTTAGATGGATTTCCTGTTGTTTTCTGCTTAGCCATCCTTGGCAAGGTTCACATAACCCACGGAAGGCGTAATAAAGCTGGGGATTTGAGATGCCTCCTTGTCACGTCAAGCCTCCCAAGTTGATCTGAGCAGCGCTAAAGTTTGCTTTTAATCTGCCAGTTTACGATTTGGAACAGCTTCTTTGAGATTTCGTTAGCCGCTGGTGGCGCTCACGTGGGGATGAGAAATAGTTTAGCATGGAACAACAACAACACGGGGTATTCCTGCCAATGTTTCTACTTACACAACGATCGGCCAGGTTTGATTTTCATACAGTGTGTCTGCCAATACTTTATCGCTCTGCAAGGTGTGTGGGTAAACCCTCCCTATTTTGCATCGTAGTCCCTTTTGATTGATATCCTTACCTTACTGGGTTTTTTTTTTATTATTTTCAAAATTTGGGTTGAAAGAAAAATCATTACACTGTTGATTAAAACATGTACCGTATTTTTTGGACTATAAGAAAGACGCACAAAGATTTTGAAGAGGAAAACAAGAAAAAAAATAGTTTTTGGCCTCTGCAGTTCTGGTTTTTGCTCTCCCCGGCCCCCGGGAGCACTCTGCAGGCCTCCCAAACCCTCTGCGCATCCTGTTTTTGCGAAAAATGGGCCCGTTTTTGGCGTCTTGAACCCCCCCATGCCAGTGGTGGGTTGCTCCCGGTTCGGACCGATTCTTGCGAACCGGGAGCAACTGCAACGGGAGGCTCTGCCCACCTGCCTGGACATCATCATGAATGATCTGTGCATGTGTAGAAGCTTCTGGGCATGCGCACACATGCTCCTGTTGCGAACCGGTAACGGAGGTAAGTAGAACCCACCCCTGGCCCACGCATCCTGTTTTTGCCCTCCCCAGTCCCCGTAGTGCTCATGATGTTACCTAGTTTGGTAATGAAACATCTGCAAGGAAATCATCAAGGTCAAAGAGCAAGTAGGCAAACTCTTAGCCCAGAAACTAGCTTATTCCGGTTTCCCAACTCTTTTATTCAACTCTTATACAGAAAAGTAACATTACGCTAGCCTAAAAAAATACAATAGGTAAGGAAGTTCCAATTATTAAATATAAATATAGGGTATAAGAGACCTCTAATCGTCTGACATTGTGTTCATTAACTCATGCCGTTGGGCGAAGGGCCTGTTTGTCCATTAGTGACGTTAGATGTCACTGCAGAAGGAAAGAAAATGCAAAGCTAAAATCAGGGAACAACTTGATCGCTCGCTTACCTTGTCTGCTTCAACCCCGGTTTCCAGCTGCTGCTTCTGCTTCAGGCAGAGGTGTCCAACTTTAGCCAAGAGCTCATGAGGATGAATGAAGACACGGGAGCTCAGAAGGAAGGTGAAAATGTATGTCTTCTGTATCGAAAAGACGGGAGAACGAAACAGAAAGGAACTTTAAAATTGATTTTCCCCCCTGAAAACTACACACACATACACCGATGAGAGACTTCTAAAGATTAGTTGAAGACAAGCCAAGAAAACCCCATGGAAGGATTTGTGAAGGTGTCAAGCTTGCCTTGAAGGAAGTTTGGACACTTCTCTTTTGAAGAATGGTGATAGCAATAGCAATAGCAATAGCACTTAGACTTATATATTGTTTCATAGTGCATTTACAACCCTCTATAAGCGGTTTACAGAGTCAGCTTATTGCCCCCAACAAGGGGGCATTGGGCCCTCATTTTACTGAACTCAGAAGGATGGAAGGCTGAGTCAACCTTGAGCCTGGTGAGATAGATAGATAGATAGATAGATAGATAGATAGATAGATATAGATAGATAGATAGATAGATAGATAGATAGATAGATAGATAGATATGGATGGCAATAGCACTTAAGACTTACATACAGCTTCACAGTGCTCTACAGCCTTTTCTAAGCGGTTTACAGAGTCAGCCTCTTGCCCCCAACAATCTGGGGGCTCATTTTTCCCACCTCGGAAGGATGGAAGGCTGAGTCAACCTTGAGCCTGGATAGGTAGGTAGGTAGGTAGGTAGGTAGGTAGGTAGGTAGGTAGATGATAGATAGATAGATAGATAGATAGATAGATAGATAGATAGATAGCAATAACAATAGCAATAGCAATGGCAATGGCAATGGCAATAGCACTTAGAATTATATACCACTTTACAGTGCTTTTACAGCCCTCTCTAAGCGGTTTATAGAGTCAGCCCATTGTCCCCAAACAATCTGAGTCCTCATTTTACCAACTTTGTAAGCAGTGGTGGAATTCAAATTTTTTTTTACTATCGGTTCTGTAGGCGTGGCTTGGTGGACATGGTGTGGCTTGGTGGGCATGGCAAAATCTCCATTCCGTCCCCACTCCTGGGGGAAAGATATTGCAAAATCTCCATTCCCACCCCACTCTGGGGCCAGCCAGAGGTAATATTTGCCGGTTCTCTGAACTACTCAAAATCCCAGCTACCGGTTCTCCAGAACCTGTCAGAACCTGCTGAATAGTACCCCTGCTTGGAAGGATGGTAGGCTGAGTCAATAGCACTTACTTATATACAGCTTCATATTGCTTTACAGCCCTCTCTAAGCAGTTTACAAAGTCAGCATATTGCCCCCAACAATCTGGGTCGTCATTGGATCAAAAACATTTTCCTTATTTTGAGCTATCCATTTTCCCCGGTAGCTCATGGAACAAAGCTGTAAATACCAGAATTAACACCAATCAGGGATGATGAAACATCCCCCTCCCCTATCAACTAAGAAAGAAATGCAGACAACACAACTCCAAAACATATTAAAGCATCCCCAGAAAGTATCATGTCAATGCTCTGCTGGAAAGTGTCAAATCAATGTTCTTATCAAGATGAAGCAGCTCATTAAGATAGATCTCTGCAGAGCTTCTCAGATACACACTAAATGCAAGAATCTCAAAAACATAAGTCTCAGAGCTACCCACAGGATGATTCTAAATACTCCATAACAAGGAGGCTTAACAAACCTCCACCAGAAACGCATTCACACAAAATCTGACTCTCTGTGCCCTTCCATGAGTGTGGCTCTCAAGTCGAGCTTTGATTGAAAATCTTAAAATGGGGTGGGCAGAGTTGAGACCCCTCCCAAAGAAGAGGGAGGTCAACCTATTTTCCCAAGCATCAAAAGGCAGGACAAGAAGCAATTGGTTGAAACTAATCAAGGAGAGAGAAGCAACCTAGAGCCCTCAGCAGATGCCAGCACTCAAGAGTTAAAGAGCTAATTGAAAGAAGCCAAGTATCTAGGTAGCTCTATTCATTAGCAAAAATTCCCTGCAGTAAAGGTAGGATTAACCCTCAGCCACAATAGGAATTGCCCAGCAAGCCTCTTCATTGCATCAGCAGTCCCAGCTTCAACCAAACCCGGGAGCTCAGACAACCTACAGAGCCAGTTATGACCTCCTACAACAGCCAATAGAATACATGTTCTTGCACAGGAACAGGAAATTCAAGTTCAAAGCCCACTCTCAACTCCATGTGGTCAGCTGCGCTAGAACCACCTATGTGGTTCTGTTTCATCAATAAACCATCTTTCCAATCAGCCTCCATGTTTCCAGTGTCTTTCTCCCAGCTTGGAACTGAACCAGATGGATATTTCTTTCCACAACGATCAAACAAGACTTGCGAAGCTGCTTTGAAAGCTAGCGGTGCTGTTTACACACGTGCGGGCTGCACAGGACAGCTGATTTGCCTCCCTGGCCGACCCTTTAGAAGCGGTGTCATTGTGTGCATACAAACACACAGGCACGTGTGAAAGCCGGGGACAGCTTTCGACAGCTGGCCAAATCTTACAAAAGACGGGAACCAGCCTGACGCTTCAAAGCGATGGGTTTTGTTTGTGCAGGATCCATTTTTTTGCAAAATGGGCCTTTTGAACCCTTTGCGCAGCTTTGAGCAGCTGTGGTGAAAGAAGCCGAAATAGGACACCAAGCTTTTTTTTCTAGCTTTGATTCTTTGAAGATTTTTTTGTGGCGGGGAAGCTTCTGCGCCTCTCTTCCAAACCAAAGCCAGACTTAGATTGCATCTGTCTGGAGTCCTTTTTGATTTAGCGTCCTTCACCACCACCACCAACTGGTTGTAATGGATCTTGGCTCCATCTGGTTCGAGGAGCTCCTGATTAGCTCTCGAAAGCAAAAAAAAAAAAAAAGAATCGCCCCCCCCCCCCACCAAAGCTCCAAATTTCCGGTTTACCTCCGCTGACCTTTTTTTTTTTTTTTTGCACAAATCCAAACGAACTGCTTACATTTAATGCTTACATTTTAATTTGGAAGGTATTGCAAAGAAAGTCAGGTGGGATTATTTCGTTGCTGGAGTCTGGCATACCCTCCAAACTGCAAATGGGAGGGCACAAACTAAGCAGACCAGAAGAACAGAGTTGGAAGGGAGCTTGGAGGTCTTGTAGTCCAACACCCTGCTCAAGCAGGAGACCCTATACTAGTGGGGAAATCCTGCCGGTTCTGTCCAGCTCGCACGAACCGGTAGCGTCGTCATCGTGTGGTTCTGCAAACTGGTAGCGCCGGCTGTGTGAGGCTCCGCCCACCAGGAAGTAACCCGTTTTTGACCCTCTGTGCATGCACATAAGACTTTGTGCATGTGCAGAGGGTCAAAAATTGGACATGACGATGGCGCACACGCAAGTGGAGCAAGTGCATGTGCGTGACGCACGCACTTCTGAACCGGTAGGGAAGGTAAGTAGATTTCACCATTGCCCTATACTATTTCTGACAAATGGTTGTCCATTCTCTTTTTGAAAGCCTCTAGTGATGGAGCACCCACAACTTCTCAAGGCAAACTGTTCCACTGGTTAACTGTTCTGTCAAGAAATTTCTCCTTATTTCTAGGTTGTTTCTGTCCTTGATTAGTTTCCATCCATCACTTCTTGATGAAGCACCCACAACTTCTGGAGGCAAGCTGTTCCACCAGTTAATTGTCCTCACTGTTAGAAAATTTCTCCTTAGTTCTAGGTTGCTTCTCTCCTTAATTAGTTTCCATCCATTGTTTCCCGCCCTGCCTTTAGGTGCTTTGGAGAATAGGTTGACCCCCTCTTCTTTGGGGCAGCCTCTCAAATACTATTTTTTCTTCTTTTTATCCTATCCTGGCTTGTATCCAAGCTTGCCAAAGTTTGAAAAGGTAGGTAGGCTTCACAATGCTACACAGGTAGTCCTCGACTTATGACTGCAATTGAGCCCAATGGTTTTGTTGTTAAGCGAGACATCTGTTAAGTGTGTTTCATTTCATTTTCTAAACCTTTCTTGTCACCGTTGTTAAATGAATCACTGCACTTATTACATTAGAAACAAGGTTGTTAAGTGAATCTGGCTTCCCCCTTGACTTTGCTTGTCGGAAGGTCGCAAAATGGGGATCACGTGACCCTGGGACGCTGCGACCATCATAAATATGAGTCTGTTGCCAAGCCTCTGAATTTTGATCATGTGTCCATGGGGATGCCGCAACGGTCGTAAGTGTGAAAAATGGTCACAAGTCACTTTTTTCAGCACTGTTTTAACTTTGTTCACTAAGCAAATTGTTGTAAGTCGAAGGCTATCTTAAAAATTAGAATTATTGGGATCTGCAGATCTGGGCGCAGGATATAACCCTGTGGTGGTATTCGGCCGGTTCTATCCGGTTCGGGAGAACTGATAGCGGCGGCTGCGGGAGGCTCTACCCACTTCCCTGGACATATCCTGTCCCATTTTTGACGCTCTGTGCATGCGCGGAAGGCCCACATGCGCACGCTCACATTTGCGAACCAATAGCAAAAGTAAATGAATACCACCCCGATATAACCGTCGAACAGATTCCAAGTGGATCAAGCAAATGCCCCTAATTTTATTTGCATGTGTTTGAAAAAAACATCTCTACAAGAGGACAGACTGTTTAAACACACACACACACACACACACACACACACACACACACACCATGTATGGGTTGGGAGAGTGAGGAGCAGATAAGCAGACCTTCCACGGAGGAAGTCTTGAAACGAATTCTGGCTGTTGAATGCAATGAAAATAAGGACCAACCTTTGGCCACAGACAGGAAGGGAGACCTAGCCCCTGCCTGATCTGTCTGCTTGCGTGGAGATAGCTGACTTGATGTGACAGATTATTGATGTAGGTCACAAGGAGAGGACAACCAAGCACAAATTGTTCAGAAATGACGATTGCCTAATTTTCTTTTCCTCCTCCCTTCCTTTGCTGGCTAACTATTCTACGTGTGGGTCAACACAATCCAACAGTGTTAGCTGATGTTTCCACCACCTTCCCTTCTAAGTGTTGAGCTCAAGTCCCGTTTCTTTTCCTCCATATTACGTAACAGAATAAGAAAATAACAGACTTGGAAAGGGACCTTGGAGGTCTTCTAGTTCAATCCCCT